TTGAGACAGTGTGCCTTGCCGTCACCCACGTCTCGTCCAAGTAGAAGATCTTCCGACCATCTTGTCGGTGACGTGTGATCTCATGCAGGTACTTCTTCTGCCAGGCGACTATGTCCTCTCGTTCAATCAACCGGGAGTTTCGTTTCCTCTTGTCATGCTCGAATCCGATGTCGTGGAAAAGGCGACACACAGTCCAAGCCTTCAACAAGGGAAGTTCCGTGCTGGCGCAGAATTCGGCCGTTATCTTCTTGACCATGGGAACCTCGTTCCGTCGAAAGAAACGGTGGACGCACGATCTTAGCGCGCACAACGTGAACTCGCCGTACCTGACCTTGCGCCGCCTCTCGCCTTCACTTGCTGGCGCTTCCGAGAAGGTGTCTCAACTTGTCCCTCGGTTTCTTTCGCCTGCTTCCTAATCTCGAGGACGGTGCGTACACCAACGCCAAGCAGCTTGCTGACTTTGATGCAGGACTCCTCCACAGTGAGGCCGGACTGGCCGGGCTTGGCGGGCGGTTCGTGTCGCACCTGGACGTACGCGTTCATTATCAGCTGCCGTGTAGCTCGGTTGAGGACATCGCCACTCTTATACTTCTTGTAGAGGCGCCTAGGCGTAGGCGGCGAGGCTGCACCAGACTCTCTTGACGAAGAAGAATCGGAGTAATCGCATTCCACTGTGTCCACGTTGGGATTCATAACGGAAAAGGGCGACTTCGGCATTGTTAAAACGCGAAGCGCAGGAACTTTCAAAACCCGAAACGCAGTTTTCTTTTAGCAAACGCAGACAATACACGGAATGTACCTAACTCGAGAAAGAAGGTTATCAAGATAAAACCAACAACCATATATGCATTACTTATAAAAGTTACGATTTTCGTTGCACTGAAGCCTTCTTTTTACGTCAACCTTCCGGAGCGAGTAATTTGCCTCGGCTAGGTGGCGCAAGCTGCCGCCCGCTACAAGGTCTGTCTGTAGTCAATATCCATCCATTGAAGTAGAAGGGGCGTTTTCAGCGAACTATCTTCTCGACTGCGGAGGCGTCTGAAGCGGGCGCGTCACGCTTATGGGGAGGGGCTTCTACTACCTTCTTAACTTGTAACCGACTATATTCAAACGCATAATTTAATTTGCAGCCAATGCAATGCTTTCGGTTTTAAACCGAAAAATGTATGAGCACATATACGCCTCCTGCGTTGCCCAGGGAGCACTGCGAAGGGGACTCCTTGGGACTAAAGCACTATATAGCTCCTTCGGAGCCGAGTATAGTGCAATCGAGAACGCCATCCCTCGGCGACGAGCGGCGAACGCCCGGTGGTTCCAACTTTGGTCACAAATACATGGAGAGCGCGAAAAAATCGTTTCTACTTCAATATTTTGGAGATGTACGGAACGACAATAGTTTTTGACTTAATAATGAAACATTTTACAATAATTTGTGCTAAACGTAAGAACTTTTTTTTTTTTTTTTTTTTTTAATTTCCTGAGCGGCATTATGCAGCAGAGGAGGCGGCGACGTCCCCCGTTTACGTGACCCACTCAGGCCAACTCCCGAAAAGTCCATCTCCGCTGCACAAAAAAAAAATCCTCTGCTCCAAACGCCATTGCCTTGGAAATCGCCGTCTCAAACTTTTCGCACGCATCAAATATTATAAAGAATTCGACAAAGTGTTTAGTGCTTCACCAACTTTACGACAGACTAGTTTCGAAAGGTGTGAACTCGGCGCTTATTGTTTAATCAGCGGTGTTGCGTCAATCCTCATGGGCGGGCGCCTCCTGGAACCATGAGTACCACGTGACTTGCGCCGAGCTGTTGTCGGCCATGTTGTCGGCAAAACACGCGGGTCGAAGGATTGCGTTACTCTGCTCCTTAGGAGTCATATAGCGCAAAACTTAGGACCTGTTTCGCGTAGTACAAACTTGAGCATCTCAACTGTCACACGTAGAAACGTACCTGCTCTTGTGTTGAACGCGAGGTTACAACGAAAAATGAAAGACGTTTACGAATCTCTGTAATGCAAAACTATAGACCTTTTTCGCTTACTCCCGTCCCCCATACCAGGTAGGCATATCCGGTATGGGCGACGAAAACATATAAAAGTATTTTAACCTGTAACTAGAACAAAAGTAAAAGGAAGACAAAACGAGAACGGTTACGCTGATACCCTAAATGTCTTCTATTGGCGTGGCGGCGGCAAAGCAATGTTTCCGCCCACACTGGAGTGACGTTATTTCAAGATGGCGGCGCTCTTGTGAAATAGGTCTGTAGCGCAGCTACGGAAGAGGAGGGGAGGGTACAGAGGGGAGGGTATACACCTCCTCCTCCGTACCCTCTCCTCCTCCTCCTCTTTTCTTCCTCCTCCTCATCCTTCCCTCCTTCTCCTCCTTTCCTCGTCGTCTTCATCTGGGAAATAAGCGCCGAAGGAACAGGGAGCAAGAGTAGAATAACAACGTCACAGGGTGCACTCTCAGCTGAATTTATTAGGAAAAAACAAACATATACCAACGGGAGCACACCGTCAGACACAACACGTCACGTTAGTCCCCGCCCAGCGCACGTCTCAAATATTCATATTCATCCGTAGCTTGAGCGAGAGAAGTATCGCTGATGCATTTTTCACCCCTACTCCTAATCTCAAATTCCTCATGCAGCTCACGTGACGCGTGCCCACGTGACACGTGCTCACGTGACGCTTCTGCCGCTGAATTTGGTCACTGGTGACATGACACGAAGTGTTGACGTCATTTTCCTAGTTCAATTTAGAAGGGAAATTGATTCGGTGCTCAGTTCACTTAACGTAAATTTCCCCGTTAAATTTAGCGGAAAACCTTTACTGCTAAACTTAGCGGAAAAATTAACCCACTAAATTTTGCGGTGGAACTGTGACATGCCGTAATGTAAAGAGCGCGGTTGCGCCGACGCCGAGGCCGCTTAACCCGGAAATGGGTGCCTAAGAGCTGTGCTCTAAAAAAACGCAAAGAAGCAGCACAAATTCGATCGTCGTCAAAGCACCGGTCAAAGCTAAGAAGCTAAGAGCGTGAGCCAAGACACTACGCATAACGCGTTCCAAAATAAAGATTAAAAAAAAAAGCGTCGGGACGCAAGATATTGTCTCGTCGCCATTCAAAAATAAGATATCATAATCTAGTGGTGGTGGCATGAATCTGGCATTTTGTATTATCTTGCGGAGTTGAATCCAGCCGATTTCGCAAATCCTAAAATGGTTTTCTGTACTTCAGTACCCCGCAGAAAGCCAAAACCTCACTCAACGTGCCAGAAGTAGTACTAGGCCCAGTCAGGCCAGCTTGTACAATTCAAAAAGAGGGCGCCACAGTTTGTTCAAATTCATTTTGAAAAACAGCGCGAATACCACACGGACAAGGAGGAACACACAGAACGAGGCGCTGACTATCAACTGTCTATTCAGAACACATACATAGAAATTCACGCGAGGTCGGCTTCTTCTTATTCCTCTTCCAGTCATTCGCCATTAAGCACGCAACACTGTAAATCATATCAAATTAAAACAAACGAGCACATTAAAACACACCAGCACAGGTATAAATAAGTCATCGCGTCTTCCTCTTTTCTTCTTTCTTGGATCTTCAATCTCGATCTTCAATTCTCAGGTCAATCCATGTCCAAAAATATTACCTCACTGTCCACTAGGCTAATGAATTCATATTTCAAAATGAATTCATACCAACTCGCCCAACTTTCCATTCTAGTAAGTTTGTTCAAAGCTTCAGCGCAGGAGACCTATAAACCTATGCAATGAGAGCTCTCTGGCTGCCGCCATTTTGCGAATCTAGCGACCTCTATCAGCCAGAAATGTCTGCCACCCGCCTGAGCTGCGGAAACACGGTCAACGTAACTCCCTGCCTGCATTGTGCATTCAGAGTGCACCGGCTTTTGTTGGAAGTTTTTGCTTTATTGGCCTGTTTAGGATGCTTACCCTTTGTTTGTTATCTCTTCCAATTTGAGAGCCAGGGAATGCCAGGGCTTGTGGCCTACTCAGCCTTCACCGCAGTAACGAACGAAGAGGGCGAGCGTCAGGCAGCCTGTGACGCGGGCAGTTCGACGTTCTTTGAGGACTATTTCCGCTGATATAATCTTCAAAAAGCCTTCCCGGCTATGTTGCGGGCCTTCGCGAAAAATAGCTGATAGGGTCGGGTCTGGGGTGTGGGGACGGAATAGACACGTTCGTTCATTTGCTTTGAAGCTGTGAAAAAAAGCGGCTCTCTTCTACATGTGCCCTAAACACGCCCATTCCGTCCGATCGCCGTGAGGTGACTATCGTCGGCACTGTATATTGGATATGCTGTGTTATTTGAAATTTTTCTCAAATACTGTTCAGATAACGCGGCACCGTGGGGTAAGTAAAATATATGTTGTTCAATTGATGAGCCTCGTTGAACGGTTCATGCTGTTTGCGGGGAATATCCATGTAGTTCGGATATCCTATGCGGTCAAATATATTCGACGGTTAAGACCTTTGTAGATTGACACGTCTAAGCGTATGGTGTAGTAAAAACATCAACATAAAATGAAACCAACATTCCAGCTGCATTTGTTGTTGCGCACGGACTCACCAAAAACAGCTTTCATTTCTTTGTTTGTGTTCCCAACGATAGTACAATGCATTCTTAAAAACCCTGAAAAATTCTATACGGCATGGAACACAAAATAAAAAAATAAAAAATAGAACGCGGCAATTTAGACTCCACCAACATCCGGAAGTGCGCCTACGCAGGCTGCCACAGTCCAGTGACTAGAAAACCCACAGCCCAGCACCGTCGGGCCACACTAACGTACCGTCTCAAAACCAGGCACGCGCGCTGCAAATCGCTTCGCTCGAGAGTGCCGCTGGAAAGGTCTATAGCCCTAAGATTTCCTAACAATAATACGCTCGTTTCATTCGCGCCGTGGTGCATACAATATTGAAATATGAAACTTGAGCAATGTACGCTTGATTGTAAAATATATGGATTTTTTTTTCATGCAGGGCAATATAAAACAGTGCAAATTTGAATGCTGCCCTGGAGGTAGAGTTAAGTGCTTTAATAAACAACCTGGAGATGGAGAGTCATGCAGTCAAGCATGGGTAAGTACGGTTCACGCAGTAACCAGCAAGAGTTCTATACAACTTTAGGACGAACAGCCTGTTGTCGAACCTCTTGTGTAAATTATGTCGCTCGAGTATAATCAGCCAAAATTATTTGTGGTCACACGCTCGGTAAGTAAAAAAAGAACGTTGCTTGATTAAAGGCGTCATAAAAAGATATTCGGTTGGAATGCTCATGACTTCACAGAGGCGTACTGGTCCTAGTTGGGCCCAAGTATACTCGCACGGACCGCCACTGATTCAGAAGCTTCTTGGTCGTGGACAAAGAGCGAGCATAAACAAGGACTATTGCTTTCACTGTTTCCTTCGCAGAGCTTTATGACGTCATCGTAGGAAACAACGCAAAAACAATCGAGGTCAAAGAAGAAACACACGAAACGAGCGCTATCATCTAAAATAATTTATTAGGGAAACATGAAAACGACCATTCATCTTTGTTAGTACGCCGCCCGTGTGCGTATCACGAGAAAATTCACAGCAGCCTGACGGCACGTGTTAAACGCGATAAAAAATGAAAGCCCTTTACAACTCCCGGTAACGCCGAATTAGAGCACATCTCTTAAGGACGAGGAGGGGAAGGGTACTGAGGGGAAGGTATGCCCCTCCTTTCTCCTCCTCACCTCCTCATCCTGTCTGCTACTCCTTCCTCCGAGCGGCGTCGCTGTCGCCTCACGAGGGTCACGTGACCTTACGGGGTCACGTGACGTCACCGGGGTCACGTGACCTCACGGGGGTCACGTGACACCTATGAGGTAAAGTGACGATGACGATGCAGATGCCGATGACGTCGTCAGTGACGTCACTGATGACGTCATCAAGAACGATGACGATGACAATGCGGATGCCAATGACGTCATCAGTGACGCCATTCATGACGTCGTCAGTGACGATGACGATGACGATGTCATCACTGATGACGTCATTCGTGACGTCAAGCGTCCCATAATGCACCGCGCGGTTAAGCCAACGGTGACGCCAACGGGGAAAGCGACGCCGCTCAAGCCGGAAACGGGCGCCTAAGAGCTGCGCTCTAAAACGCGGTATGATGCCAGCCCAAATCTAAAAACGAAACCTCACTATCCGTCAGTCCCAAAGACGCAGCCTGCGAAAAAGTAAAGAAGAGGATCAGGGCCAATGCAGCAACAAACTGCGCTGAGCGAGAAGGAAATAACAGAAAGGTGGCGGCTTCCGTCCTTTACGTTCACCTCGTTTCACACGGGTTAAAGCGGATCGCGGCAAGATACGGAGTGACTGTCGTTTTTTCGGCCTAGAACAAGTTCAGCCAAGTTTGATCCCTCATAGAAAGGCGTGTAAGAGAAAAAACCGAATAGTCAGAGTTGCACGGTAAAGCATGGCACACAGGTCGTATCATACACCGTTGAAGCAGCGTATAAGATGCCTTTCTCATGCGGGCGGCTGTATATAGGTCAAACGCGGCGCTGTTTAAACATCCGTCTAAGAGAGCACCAAAGTTCATTGAAGGGTGTGCATACTCTCCTCTTGCGTTGCATTGACCCGACTGTGAGTGTGAGCCAAGATTGAGTGACACCCAAGTTTTGTTCAAGCACACGGACCAAGTGTCCAAATACCAAATAAAAAGGGCAGGAGCCTCCTGTGTCAGCCAACCGTCTTTGGCACTGCTGGATAGTGAGGTGGCGTTTTTGGATTTGCGCTAGCATCATTACTTTTTATCGCGTTATTCACGTGCCATCACGCTTCCTTGAATTGTCTCGTGATATACAGACCGGGGGGGGGGGGGGGGGGGGGGGGGGGAAGGGAGGGCGTATTGTTAAAGATGAACGGTCGTTTTCATCTGTTTACCTATAAAAAACATTTTGGTTGACAGCGCTCATGCCGTTGGCGCTCGTACAGTTGAGCGAGTTGGTGCCTTCGCACCAACTTCCCCAATTATCCATTCTTCCTTGTGACATAATTGTGGGGTTCGAAACAACCCGCCTGACAAAAGTCAAGCGCGGGTCATGGATTGGAAACAAGAACTACGTCAGCACTCAAGTTCATTTCGTAACAGTCAATGCCTCGGCGGACACTCGGCTAGTCGTTCGTGCCCAACCACTGCGGGGATGAGAATAACCGAACTCTTAACAGTGCCTGGAGCTTAGCACGCGTTTTGTGTTTAACTAACCCCAGCGCGTTGCTATGATTTACGTTGGCGGCGGAGGATAGGCACCAGGCCACGTTGCTGCTCGTTCTTGCTCCGAGTTGAGTGAATGAGCGATGCCATATATCTCGAATTTATTTGACGACTGAAATTGCTTAGAGAAAAAAAAAATTAAGGGAATTTTATTCGGTTACTAACGTTAAGGAGGGATTCTGAGTAGTATTTATGAGCAGTAAAAAATTTGCTTTATGGCCCCTTTAAAAAACCCATTAAGCGAAATTTGGGCTGGGAATATTGAATTTAGATAGGGATTTTACTCATAGCACATCTTTCAGTGGTCCAAAAGAAAGAAGGTAGAAATTAAAAAGCCTGACTTTTATTACGAAATATGAAAACACAAAGGACTATTTCGTACCTCCTTCCATTCGAAAGCTATCTGTCTTTTCACTGTGAGACATCCGCGGTACCCAAAGCGCGACACCCGTCTCCAAAGGACGTCACATGACACGGGACCTCCCTTGTGTCCTTTACCACTAAACTGACAGTGCAGTGAAAGCTACGCGCTTGCCGGACCAATCAGCCGCCTCTCTTTCGTCATATGACCTCATTCTCTGCGCGTGGGTACGCGCGAGGTAGCGTGATCACGAGATAAAAGTGTGGCTGGCCCAACGAGCGCGTAGCTTCCATAAAATGGTCAGCTTCGGGGTGAACGGGGTGAGTAAAGTAACTTTTGTTCGAGCTTTGAGCGACGGGCTAATCTTCTAGGGGAAAAATGGTGGTGCCCGGGTACACAAACGAGGGTCCGTGCAAGAGGGGACTTTCTCCTTTACGCCTTCTTGAACTGTTTGGTACATGGCGCGATTTGTGATTTGAGGAGGAAAGCTAAACAGGAAAAAGCTGAAAAATCATTTCATAACCGCTTTATGCAGAAGTAAGGAATGCTGGAGTCATCATCATATGTGTATTTCAGTTTACCAACTACTTGCAAGCTGTAAAAACCTGTTTTTTTTGCGTCTCTACACATTCAGCAGTAAAGTGGAGATTTGGGCCAGTTGGTTCATTGCAAGCAAAAAAGCGCCGAAAAAATACAGGGACACAGACGAAGGGAAACAGGACAAGGGCGCCTTGTCCTGTTTCCCTTCGTCTGTGTCCCTGTATTTTTTCGGCGCTTTTTTGCTTGTCTACACATTCAGTTTATCTGCGTACGGTTCAACGAGTATAATTTAGCATTTTTTTCTAACGTAGCTTTTTCCCGACATAGGCAAATGCTGCGTCAGTCTCAAGTTTAGAGCTGAGTCAGAGTTCGGAGCTGAGACACCCATTGATTGAATCCAAACGAGACCGGCTTTTTATAATAGACCCTTTCTAACAGAGAGTACGTACGTTTGATTCTGAAATACTGCAAAACCTTCTCTCGAGTTCAGTTGAGTTCGAGATGGGTATTTCTTAAATTGCGCCAGCGTCCCAGTTTGCAATGGAGCACAGGGCTGCAAAACAGACTCGGTGACAAGCAAATCCATGGGTGTAAACCGGCCTTTCCGTATTGTGAGAGTTTTTCTTGGCGCACAATATTATACGCACAATAGAATGGGAAAGGGGGATAAAACAAATGTCATTTTATATTATCGGCCAATAACTATTCCCTCGTAGCGTACTCCAGCGCTCTGTCCAAGTAGTGATTCTTTTGCGTTTTATCAAGTTTATTGCAAATACTAAATATCCGGACACGCAGAAGGCATGTCCGGATTCACGCACTTCTTGAAAGCTGGCGCTTTTAAACTAGTGCATGAACACGGCACCAGCTAGCGTTATATTTTATTACACTTTCATCCAAACAAAACGCTGATAAAGTGCGCGCGCCTTCACATGGAACATGTCCTCACGTGGCGTAGGCAGCATTACACTAGTAGTGCGAACCCGACCTCGGTATTTTTTTCGCATTTTACTTCGAAAGGCTACTCACGGGAATCAACATTTACCACCTAGAATAGTTTTGCAGCTGGGGACGTTCCATCACTCTACTAGTTTTTATGTCAGCCCTGAAATACCGTGAAAAACTTAAAAATAAGAGTGTTGGCTTGATTGGGCTAACAGAGTCACTGAAGTTACTTAGCCAAGGCCGCTGGATGTTTGTTCCAAGCTCAAGAACCGAATACGGACCAAAGCCGCTGGCAGGCTCTCCCTTCGTGACGCAATATGTCGACATTTCTCTCCTTAGAGCACTTCAAAATAAAAGTGAAATCATCCACATTTGACTCCAAAGAAGTCGTTAGAGCTTACGATCCATAGTGATAAAATAATTTATAACAAAACCCTATCTAATTTTAGACATTCTTATCTAGACTCAAAGAAAGTAACCTTAAAGGTGTCATGAAACAACATCGCGTTGGAATGTTCATGACTTTACAGCGACGTACGGGTCCTCCCCTGGCCCAAGTATACTCGCCAATGATTCAGAAACTTCTTGGTCGCGATGAAATTTCGAAGGTAAAAACAGACTATTTCATTTAGTCTTGCCTTCGCAAAGCTTGATGACGTAATTGTGGATCGAAACCACTCGCCTGACGACGGTCGAGCGCGGCTCATGGATTGGACAGGAGAACTGCGTGAGCACTCGACTTCGGCTCGTAACGGTGCAGTGCCTCGTCGGACACTCGGGTAGTGGCTCGTGTCCAACCACTCCAGTGACGAGAATAGTCGAACTCTAACAATGGCTGGAGCTCAGCACGGGTTTTCTAGTCTGCCTACCCCAGCGCGTCGCAATGAATAACGTTGATGGCATATGATAGGCACAATGCCACGTGGCCGCTGGTCTTGGCTCCGAATGGAGGGAATAAACGATGCTCATATTTCTCAAATTTATTTGCGACTGCCATTGCCTAGATAGAACAGCTGAGGCACGTTTATTCGGTTATTAACCTTACGGAGTGATACTAAGAAGCATTTATCGACAGTCGGAAAATCGTTTCATGGCCCCTTTAAGTGTTTGTGTTTAGCGTATCGTTATTATGTAACATGATACGCTAAACGACTCCTCCTGTATTTTGTGATTTTGTAATACAACTGTTTATGATTTGGAACAACAGGACATAAATTCCGCTATCAACTGCGAATTCAATTGCTGCCTGGCGGGAAACTTCAGGTGTTTTGAGGAAACCGCAGTAGATGGAATGCCCTGCGGTGATGGAGAGGTAAGTGCGGTGCACCGCGGTAGTTCTTTTATTAAACTTTAAGACAATACAATCGCTGTGAACGTTTGCATCTCGTTAATGGTCAGCCTAACTAACTTAGGGCAAAGATTTTTTATTTGGTATTACACTTAGCTTATGTCATTTGCTGTCACACAGCTGACTAAACCGCGGAAGGACGTTGCTCAATTCACTGTGTCATCGGTTCTCAACAATGGTGTTTCGCGGACCCCGTGCAAATGGGGAGAGATGAAGGTGGACCCCGTTCGTGGTGAGGGAAAGGGAAACATATAGCTTAATTAATATGAAGATTTAATAAATAGATATAGTAAAGGCTGTGTGAAGTAGAATTCTATTTTCAACAGATACACGAAAAAACTTGCCCGCAAAACTGGAACGTTTCTTCTCAATCAGAGAAAAGACACCTTTTATCGCCGGGTTTGATTGATGAGGCTGGGCTTCGCGGACCCCTGAAAGCCTTCGCGGACCCCGAAAGGTGCCGGCACCCCCATTTGAGAACCACTGGTCTATGTGTATGATATGTCAAAAAAAACAACAACAAGAAACGCGTTTTCTCTCTTTCTCTCTCTCTCTTTCGAGTTTGCAGTACATTAATTCAACTGAATAAGTCACGCTCATTAAATACCCGGCACTTGTTCATGTTTGGTTTCACGCCCTGTTAGGGATAATTCAAACTTCAACTCCGGTAACCACGTTTCTTCTTGTTGCGTGTCTCGATGAGCGAAGTATTTTATCCTGCGTTGAAAAATATCCGACAAACAAAAATCAAAACCATCTTTATTTCTTTCCACTCTATGAAATCTAAAAAAAACTACACGGAGTTCCCCCCCAAAAAAAACTTTTTTGTATATTTTTTGTTTAGGGATTCATATTATGCATTACACAAGGCTCTACCTTCGTGAGGTTGTGACGCTAGGGGTGGAATAGAACGCGGATGTTTGAGAACATGACGTTACCTAAATCAAAAATATAATTGAGGAAAAAATAAATTTTCTTCTGAGCCTATGCCACCTAAGCCAAATATCCTCATAACAAAACAATCATTGTGGAATTGTGGACGCTTCGGCGATTTATGTATTTGATAAACAGTTAGCAGCAAGCAAGAAAATATTTTGTTTTATTGTTGACAACTTTTTTCTTTACTAAAATAAATAATACAGTCACCCACCATGTCATTTCTTGTTTGAAAATATTAGGCTTAGGTGGACGTCGGCTGATAGAACAATTTCGTTTTTTTTATCAATTATACCGTGATCCAAGTAAAATCACGCTCTTCAACCTTCGTGTTCTATCCCAGCCGCTAACGTCCACATCTCACGAAGTTAGAGCTTCGTTTGAAGTTTAATCTCTACGCTGGCGAAAAAACAATTCTCTTTTTTCGGGAACTCCCTGAACTTTCATGCAATGCACATCGGAGAGTCGATTACTGAAATCCATGGAGAGCGCTCTGCGAATGACGAGGCAAAACATATTTATAAAAAAACCATCCCCCCATAAAAAAAAGAAAATCTAAAAACAGTTTTTTTTTTTGGCGTTTGGCAGGGTAAAACGTGAATCTCAATAGTGCAGCGCAGTTTTTTTTTTTTTTTTTTTAATACAAAATATAATTTTAGGTTTTGTCACTCACCGATCTCGATGCGCAGACAGCCGGGATCGACTGTCTCAAGTGCTTTGCGGGAAACTGGACGTTCTTTAAGCTTTCTTATAGGGCATATTAATTCACCTGCATTTCTGTCACTGTTTTTTTTTTATGACGACTAGTCCGTTTAGCTAAAAATGAAGACGCAGGTAATGGATTATGAAGATAGAAGATGATGCATCGAGAAAATCTAGAAAAATATTTAAAGATGTACTAGGTTACTTTTTAGCCCCAGATTTCCTTGGGAATCTGGCTGACAAAGTTAACGGAGTACGTTTCAGGTGATTCTTCGCCGAGTGAAACCAAAGAGCGTCAAAGAAGTTTCTAGGTTAATGCAAAATGTTTTCGCAATCTTAGTGGTAGGTTGATTTTAGAAGTTAGCGCACAGAACAGCCGTAAATGCAGGCAGGAGTGAGAGGTCTTCCGTACCTACCTCCACCGGTCCGTCACCATGAGGTGCGCAAGAGTTATACGTAATCTGAGAAGCACCGGTCCAGTTTACTGGCTTGATCTACAGTCACAAGGCGAATCAAGTCCCGAGAATTTTATGGTGGCTCCGCGGTTTATGAGGCGGCGGAATAAACTGATCAAAACACTGAAGTAACCTATCAAGCCGCACACTGTGTTCTTGAATGTGTCACAGACGGTAAAAAGCAAGACAACTTCTATATGGAGCATGTCGCAATCCGCCGGAAGAAAACTGGCGCTGTAAGTTCGGGTTATGCTAGAGCCGGTTTAAACGGGAGCTCCAGCGCCACGGTAAATGTTTTCAAACAAACATAATTATAATTTCTGAAAGTGCAAAGGAAACTGAGTCTAAAGCAGCAAGTCGTTTCCCTTAAAACAGATTCGGAAATAATTTTTAATCGTAAAAATACGGTATATTTGAAACCTAAACTAACCTGAAAAATTACTGTCCTGCCATCTTGTTGTGACGTTAGGTGTGTGACCATGAGCACATGGGCCGCATGAGCCTGTTTTCGCCCAGCATCAGAAGCTGTCACGATGATTTGTGGGAAATAAAGACCGTCGCAATCCTCTGTGGGAAATATTGGACTACAATTCGTCGATCTTGTATTAGTTAAGCAATGACCGGCAAATGTACTAAGATTTTCAGCTCGAGATTTCGGAAAATTTACCTTTTTCATTCGAACCGCCGGCATTGACTCAGAGGGGTGCACCCGTGGGGTCTGCATTCGCGATCCCCCGACATGTGGAAACAAATGCCACTTCGAAACAGAATGGCATTGAAGGTTTTATTCGCCAGCAAGCTGGGAACTGCTTTCTAGCCCCACGCGGACACTAGGAGCCAGCGTTCGCGTGGGACTGCTTGGACGCACTTTTGCCACAGAGTCTTCGAATTCGGAAGCCAATAAGATGTCACTCTGCTGCATTTCTTGAAGGTGTTGTTACACCATACACCCGATGACCATCGCTTCATCGTATGCAGCAAAATGCCCAAACCAGATGAAATTCGCAACCACAGCCACTCACTACCAGCAGAACGCACAACGTCATGGAGTAGGAAGCGTCGTCTCTCGGGTAGAAGATTTGGCGTCACGAACGCTTTCACTCACTCATTGCTGACAGTGGAGCGGCAGCTAGTAATTCGGAGGTGTGAATTCAAAATTCATTTTTGAAAGAAAATTACTATCTTCATTAAATATTTCCTGGACATACTCAAGCATGGATATCTAGTACAAGGTGAAAATTTTATAAAACTCAATTATCATAAATATTTCGCCAGGGATACCCTTTAACTCCTTCGCTACGCAGGACATGCCTAGCGGTCAAATAATAAAAAAAGATAATGATATGGATTTAGGTTTAAACACGAGTTACAACTGAAAGCCTTCTAGATAGGAAAAATTATTCTATTATATTATTTATGCTTAAATTTAAGAGTGACCTTTTCACCCAAGCTTACCTTGCTAAAATGATATCACACAGCGCTAAAACGGGAGCCCATACTGACCAAATCCATCTGTTGCGTACGTTGACATAATTAAAAATGCACACAAAAATTAATCAGCTGTTTGATTGCATTGGTCATCTCTGTATCGATCAAGTCGTCAACGACGCGCGAATGTTAACTATAGAATTCAGAAAGGGCGAATACTCCATAAAACATTCATCTCCCATTTAATAGGCTTTCTCTGTGTTCTTCAGATGTGCTTCAGAAACAAGTGCGTCAAGCAGTGTGACCCCTTCAAAGGAAAAGAGCCGTTCACATTGCCTGGAGATGACTAAAATGAATAAAGGAACGATGGCGTCTACCCTGGAAGCAAGAATCGTACTTATATTCAAGGTTTAAGATACCAACTGAATTAACGTCCCAGGCTGTTCCTAAATATTAATATTCTATCGAGTTGTAATCTTTAGCATATAATTATAATATTTGTCTACAATAAAAGAAAAAGTTTAATTGCTTTGTTGGTTGCACCGCTGGCTCCCTTCTATTTTTATATTCTATTGTATTTCAAAGTGTGTTGTGTAGTAGCGTAAAAGGAAAAACTATTTTTTTTTTCCGAAATGTTTTTTCGCTTTTAGAAAGAGCGGTGTGGAGAGTGAGGGCAACTCCGAGATAAGTACGCCAAAGTACTGAATGATCCGCGTCACCGGAACTCTAAAAAAAGCCCGCGCGTCTTCTTTCTCGCAGAACACGAGGACAGCCAATCACTGCTGTTTGTGGAATCAACTAAGCGAATGACAATGCGGAAACATATGTTTGGACCAAAAAGCGAAGTATGTGATATAGCAATGGGGGGAAGGGGGGGGGGGGGCAATGGAAGCGTGAAGTCTTGCAATGCTTAATGCTACATTGTAGACTTCGCCTTATGGTCGAAACATATTGTTGTGGCGGTGCTGCGAATAAGAAGACGATGAAAAGGAGGACAAGAAGAAGGCGTGAGTAAAAAGGACGGATAGCGGTGAACGGAGACCGTGGAACGCTGACATTTTAAAAACAGTCCTGTATTTCTTAATAATTGGTGTCAGAAGTGGGATTCGAACCCACGCCCACGTTTGTGGGTCCGAATCCCACTTCTGACACCAATTGTCTAAAATTGCGCAATGGACGTAAGTGACGGAAACATCATCTTGTATAGCCAACGTGCAATTTGATGCAACGGCAAGGGACATGCAAACGCCGACACACTTTCGCGGCGACCTTGGTTGCCTGGCAACTGTCGCCCATGCCTAAAGAGCGAGCACCGCCTTTCACTAGACTGCCAACAGTTGTCGTCTTCCCAAACGACTGCATGTCCTGCGATGGTAGAACACCAGCAAGATGATCAAGACCCGACAAACTGGACTGCACATGTTCTCTGTGTGCTTCAAGAAAACGACAGCAATTTGCAACCTATTCTGCAGTGCAATCGGATGGGAGAAGTACCCAACTGGAACGTGGTTACACCATACAACAGCGTTGTGAAAGCATACTGGGCACGATGGGATTCCCTCATTCTACAGGATGGATTGTTGTATCCTTGCTGGGAGAGCAAAGACTTAAGAAACAACACACTTCAGCTCATTTTACCTCTAGTCCGTGTCGACACCATCTTGCGTGAACTTCATGACAGCCCTGCTGGCGGACACCTTGGGATATGCAAGACTTTGCAACGAGTTCAAGAAAGATTCTATTGGGTCGGATCAACTCGAGATGTGCGCGAATGGTGTAAAAAGTGCGACCACTCTGCGTCGCGTAAAGGACAATCATCACGAACCCGAGGGGGGTGGTAACATCCAGCGTCAGTGTTCCGTTTGAAAGAGTGGCCATTGATGTTGTACGTCCACTACCGAAAACGATACAGGAAAATCGGTACGTGATAGTCATTGCTGACTACTTTACAAAATGGCCAGAAGCATTTCCAGTGCGAACGTATGACGCAGACACTGTTCCCACGATCTTGACGGAAGACATCGTTCCAATATACGGAGTAAAACTGGAAATACATTTTGATCAGGGTCAGACTTTTGAGCTGCAAGTGTTCAAGAGCAAGCATTACCAGGGACACACCACGGAAATCGGCTGCTGCTGATTCGGACAACACTGGAGTCATGAGGAAAGTGGAGAGGTGCCTCAGTCTGCAGACAGAAAAGAGTACGTGACGTAACTGCTTTAAATGTGCTTCATACAAAGGATGGATGTGCTTCACGGTCAGACAGGTGCCCTGCTTTATGCGCGCAGCCATTCCCAGAGTTACAGAGTGAAAGGATCCCCTGGTGGTCACCTATGCGGGAGTGCCTGTGCGGAAGCACTACCCTCTGAGGACGGCTTTTCTGTCGCCAATTCAAATAGTCCACGCGACCGATTTGTATTACTAGGCTACCATGGACTGCCAGGTTACTCAGCCAAAAGAGGAGATGCAGCCGAGGTCAGAGTCGCTGAATATGTTCTCGGTTGCGCAGTTTCTCTTGCCGTGTTTTGGTGTGTCGTTTGCTGTGCTCCTCCTGGAAGCGCTTCTTGGATGCTATTTTGCTCAGCGTTTGGAGAGATTTACAAGAGAAAATATAGCTTAAGGGGCTGTTCAAACAAAAAACGAAGCCCGTGCACGGCAAAAAAAAAAAAAACAACAAAAAAACACACACACACACCAAAACTTTGTGCATATTTAAAATAACCTGAACGTTGCGGCGTGTTTATACGTTTTATTGAGGACATCAAGCACGCAGGGAGGTTGGGGACTGACAACTACCTCAGAGTCCTAAGCAACCAGCACGGCGTGTGAGTGGCTATCGAAACCCACGTGATGAGCACCCTTTAAGCTTTTTTTTCCAAAGACCTAACCTGAAAATAACAGCACCCCTGTAAAAAATAAAAAAGTAAAGTCCTCAAGTGCACTCGAACAGGAGGAAAACCTCCACTTCAAGTACAGCGAGTGCTTTGTCTGCAGAAAACTTGCCCTGCTTGAACAATTCTTACGCACATGTGACAGCGACTATAACCGGCATATTTACAGATTTTGCCAATGTGTCATCGCTATGCTGTGCTTTGCGGCGCAACTCTTTGAGCGCTCGTCTTGTGAATTTCGGCTTTGACCTTGTGTATTTTCGCGCTGCTACCAGTTGTAATTGTGAACCAACTGGCCCGCATTGCCACATTGATCCTTTCAGCCACGAGAACTTATTTTCTGCCGTACGAAGGCTACTTGTGGCTGTCTCACTTCGAACAAAACGTTGCTTGCTGGAGCTCTAGCATGTAAAAGTATATTTTGACAAAGCACTCATCCGTTTTACTTTGAAAGTGTAAACAGGATGAAGATGTAAAATAAACGCATAAAACAGTCCAAACAAAAACGTTTCATTTTGTTTCTCGATACATATTTTTTTTTCTTCCTTTGTGGTCGATTGAGCTTACGGCTTGAGCTCTGGGAGGGATGCGTTATGAACGCTTGAAAATACTCATTTATTTATTTTCAATTAAGATACAATTTTTGGCGAACCTATCCAGTCTTTTTTAAACGTTTTTATGATTGGCTGACGCAAGAAGCTCTTAAACTTCACTACATAGTTTCATTTTTTTATGAACGAGAGAGGGTGAAGTCAATTTTAAAAAAAGGACTGATCCTACAGATTCCCTCGGTATATCCAGAATGTTTTTTCACGGCATTTCTCAAGCTTGTAGTGGACATCACTTTTTTTTGTTTTGTTATAGTGTGTAATTGCGAACTCAGTTCTTACATGTATATGTAACGGAGGGAACTTCTTGAATTTTTTCTTTGATTTCTCTCATTGATTGCACTTTTTTCTTTGTAACAGTCAAATTAGTTTTACTCAAGTTACAACTTGAACGCGTTCCGCCCCTGGCGTAGGTCTGCTTCGATCACTTCGCTACTCTCCCCTTTGACGAGGTGGTAGAATGTTGAGCTCGCAATTGTTGGGTCTTGGATGAGATTCCATAAGGGGTGTGCTTTTTGTTTTTTGTTTTATTTTTCTTAGGTTAACACTCTTTTATGTAGACTTCCAATTGAAGATCGCTTCATAAAGCGTTCCTTGGCAATTCGTCACACTTACCAAAAATATTGCAGCTCGTACACACATTGTGTGTCAGAAACTAAAATCATTTTGCCTATATGTCATAGGCTACATGACGCATGGTCATTGTATTTACAGCAATGAACGTGGGCCAGCTTTGCTTGAAAGGAGAGGAGCAAACTTTTTTTTTCGGATAGGGATTAATCATTTAATGCCCAGTACTACATTATAACAAAAATTAGATAATTATTTATTTTCTCCACTGCCACGTGCGCCTCAATAAATTTATCGCCCTCCGTCGCAAGAGCTGGGATACCTTCACTTAGCAAGGATCGAAATGCAACTTAAAACAGGTCGATCGTCCGTTAATATGAAAAAAACTAACAGTGGACGTGATATCTGACGTCGTGCACCCCTGGCCTGAAAACTGGGAGAAGAAAGACGGGCGAAAATATTACAACTTCAGTTATACATTTCTCTACTGCGCAATATATTTTTAATGTGCCTGGGCCTTTTCTTATGTCGTAAATTTTTTCATTGGTTCGACGCGAAGTAGAGCCGCAAATGCCCAATGTTCTTCCCGAGCAACATTTCAACAGATGCAACATGAAACAAATAGTACCCTGAAAAAGGGTACTTTTTCCGAGACAAGATTTCTATTGTTTTGTGTGTTCTAAAATCATGACAGATTTTGCCTGTCTATAGGATATCAAGTAAAGCTTTGGGCAATAAAGGGTTATAAAAAAAACACATACGTATCATCGTTAGCAGTGAAGAGCGTTATTAGCGGTTGCATTCACAATAAACAAAACCCAGACAACTTCGCCCCGGTTTGGCAATCCTGGCGCCCTAACACGGTCCTGATTATATTTGGCTCCATGGCGTTAGTTAGTGCCAAGATACTTTTCTTTGGTGTTTCTTGTGATTTTCATCTGGTTGACCGCATAATTGCCGAAGTACGAGACATCTGCGAAAGATGCCACATATCAGCCGAACAACCAGGAATGAATAATAAAACCGGCACCTGTTTGGCAATTGGTTGTCAAAACGTCCAATATTTCTTTAAGCGCAAAAAAGCCACGAATATCGTTCAAGACGGGATGAAATTACGAACAATCCTGATGATCAAGATCTTTTTTGAAGGGCGCCAACTCGCTCTTGAGCATGCAAAATAAGCCCGGGTTTCCGGGTTAAGCATCTGCTCCGGATTTCAACTACCAACTAGTTTCTATCAGAAGCATAATATGGGAGCACCACTACCCCTTGAAGGATAG